CAACGTATTTGGTGAACATAAAGCTACGAGACGGAAATCAAAACGGGTACTACTCCTAGCTCATCAAGGAACTGCTGCATTTAACATAAAAGGAATGACACTGTGCTCAGCTTTCTCATTTTCATCGTTTTCAAAGTCCTCATTCTCAATTCCCTACAAATCTCTAACGGACTCGAAAACGGGCCCAACAAAGCTGAAACGATTGCAGGAAGAATATAATGACGTACATCTAGTTATTATTGATGAGTTTAGCATGATATCATGCGGCATGTTATATTGGAATGATAAAAGAATGAGAGAAATATGGCCAAGCAACTCAAACGAGCTTTTTGGTGGAAGAGATGTGTACTTTACTGGAGATTCTGCTCAATTAGACCCCGTTGTCCCAACTTCACTATCAACACCCCTTCAAAAGATTTCAAACCAGGCTCAGCGACGTGGGAAAAAATATGGGATAGTATTGAAACGGTGTGTATGCTAGCTAGTCAAAATAGAGGAGCTTTAGATCCTGACTGGTTTAGCGCTCTTCGTCGTCTACGTAAAAAATCGCCAACCCAGGATGACATTGATCTCTTCAACTCCCGTTCAGTGCAATTTTTTGGAAAACCTAAGTGGATGGCTAATGCCAAACATATTGCATACAAAAATATAGATGTTAATGACGCCAACGATCACAGTATAGTATCAGCTCATGTACCGATTGTGCATTTAACTTCGCAGCATTTCGTTCAACAAAAACGTTTAACGACAAAACGAGACATACCTGCTGGAACCGTTCGCGCACTTCTAACAGACGCTCAAACAGCTAACGCTGATCATGACAGAGTGGTGCCTAACAGGTTAAAACTGTGTGTTGGTGCACCTATAACACTTACCTACAACATTGCCCAAGCTGCAGGTCTGTGCAATGGTACAAATGCTATCGTTTATGACTTTATTTTTGTGTCGGGAAGCGATCTACCCATCGTGCTCGTTCAAGTCACGGACCCGTATATCGGTCCTTCCCTACTAGATGAAGTACCAAATATCGTTCCCATACCACCAAAAGACGTTTCTTGGGGAAAGGCATCCAGTGATCTTCGCGTTGTTCGAAGGGGAATTCCGCTTCGATTGGCTTATGCTATGACAGTGCATAAGGTACAAGGGCTTACATGCTCGTGTGTGGTTTTTCACTCTAATGCAATTCCAAACATTTCGTTTGCATACGTAGCCCTTTCACGTATAACACATCGAAATTTAATAGTTATTACACAGCCACTGACACTAGAACGACTCACAGCTACCCCGAGCAATTAGCAATTTTCCGAAGTGAGGAGCAGCGTGTTTTAAAAGCTGTCGCCCAAACGACGCTAGCTGCTTCGTCGGTGGTAGACAGAATGAAAGCGGTGGCGCAAGCCCACAACAGCACCATCACACCAAGATGATAGGAAGGTGAAAACTACGAAAAATGGCTTTCGAGGCGCCAAAACAGCTCGTAGCGCAACGCAATAGAAAAAGACAACTTTGTCGCTACGAGAACTACAAGAGGTGAGAAAGCTTGTGATTCTGGACAGCAACGAGGCTTTTTAACATGCTTTGTTTTAGGGACTCCGATAAAGCAATGTAATATTGCTGCAGTAATGATGGCTGCGCATACCTGGGTGGAAGCAAGATTCTAGTGCTGTACTTCGAAGGACTTAAGTAGAACTAAGCTCTTCGGGTTGATCGTGACTGCTGGCAAACAAGGGCTACGACACGAACAGGACATGGAAATTGAGTGAAGATTCAAATAAAACTATGAAACCGTTAGTCTAACTAAGTGGCGTCAATGTAACGTCACCAAACAAAAAAAGTTTAAACAATGTAACCAGTGCATCCACAAGCGGCCATTCGCACTGTATCAACTACTGGAGTCTGCGTATTAACGGGTCTATGACTCGTTGTATTTGCAGTATCGGCAAGAATACATAATATCGCTGGGCAATTAATGAAAATGTGATTTTCAACTCAAAATAGAGTTTTACTACATGTATGTAAGAGCTCTGCTTGGTTTGCTCTTTCCTGCAAAAAAAAATGTGCAAGTTTGCCTGTATGAAGTGCAAGTTTACGTCAATTTTAGATAAACCGTCTGTAGAACAATATTCACCTTGAATCAAAATAATTTTTATTCCTATGAATTATTGTGTTCGTAGTACTTTAAAAATCGTAAGAGCATATCACAGCACGCGAAGAACACGTAGTAAGCTCCCATGCCTCAAATACTGACCGTATTGCCAGCGTCAGTTTCACCACCCTGCTCTAATGCAACAAAGCCATTCCACAGTTAGTTGACGTAGCCGCTTACATGATGATCTTCAAAGAATAAGCGGCGAGTACGTACTTGTTGGAGCTGGTGGCGCAGACACAACATAGGCGCGCTGGGATGAGGTGACGTTATTCTGGACTTGAGATACCGGTAGCATTACATGCTGAACTTGAGAGACTGCAGTAGCACCACCTAAACTTCCTGGTGCAACCACCACAGAGGCCGGCATCATAGACTGTTGCTGAGCCGTGCATAACGGCAATGATGCCCCAATCTGTAGCGGAACTAGCATGTAGATCATTTGGGAAGACTGCACCAAAGGAGAATTGTGGCACAGGCAAGGCGAATGTTCACGATGCGTCGAAACCTCCCCGCCTAGGGCAGAACCTGCATTCTCGTCTTCACGGATTGATTGCCCTGATAATTTTTCCTTAACACCTTCGACAGCACGTGGTCGCTGAGCGTTGCTCACCGCAGGTACATCCAGCTCGACATGCTCCATACGTTATCACGGCTTGTGCTTGAACAGGAATCTTCAATCGAAGCCGTAGATGCAGGAGTTGATCCCTTTTTTTTGGTGCTCAAAGACGTAGAACTCTGGATCTTCCGTTTTTTTATTGCCGTAGTTTTCTTCTTCGTTTTCTTCTTGCCATCCTTCTTAGTAGTTTTCCGGTAGCGATCACGCTGCATAGTATTCTGATGATCGCGATGTTCAGCGCAGAGCCAGTGGCGCTCTCCATTCCTCTTGAATGCCCTCTTGTTGCGACAATAACCAGGATACTTGCATTGGTCTGAACTGAGGCTTCTTTCTGGTTGTGAGCCCCTAGCGTGGACCTTCTTCGGCATTTGGCACAGCTAAGATCTTGACAGCATAACATAGCGTGAGTGCTGTCGTATCAGGACGTTCACCGCACCAGCAGTACACACTTACCTCCTCTGTAGCGACGCAACTGGCAGCAACAAGGTCCTGTCAACTGTAGCTTTTCAAAATGAAAAAACTTGTTGTTGTGCTTCAACCTATGTATTTGCATATGATGCTTGGGGGGCGGTGCCCAAAAGTTTTTGATAATAAATTTTTCGGTATTGGCCCCTTAGCAGGCGACCAATCGCCGTGAGGATGCTGCCATACTAGTAATACTACTGTAGTATCTCTAGTAGCACATGAGTCTTCAGTAATGCAGTTTCGGAAAACGTAGTACTGGAAAAAGTAGCTCGCTGTAATAAAAGATAGTACTAATACAATACTACTGTAGTATGAATCTAAGCTACATGTAATTCTATCCAAGATACTACTTTAGCTCCCCTTATTATTGTGCGTTCCATTCGAAATTTCCGCGGCCCAATCGCGCACCCAATCGTGTAGCCTAGCATACAGAATGCGTTTTGGCGCTAATACAGAATAATCCTCTGACTCGCCATCTTCATTCATGACAAGTGCGCGGAGTCTTCAGTGCGAGATGCGCTGTCACTTTAACTTCAGCGTGTATCTGGTATTTTATTGGATAATAAAAATGGTTTCCTAATTTTGACCTCTAACAACGCAGCGTCGATTCGCCGTTCGCTTTGCGCCTTTCTCCGCTTCGGCAAATTGGGGCGGAATTGACAATAGAAGTATTACTCAATTTGAAGCTGCTCATGGCTCCAAACCAATATTTTATACAAATGCTGAATTTTGATCCTCGCTCGAAAATATACATGTGTATCTGCAGCAACATATGCTGACCGACATCAGCAGATGCAGTCCCATCCTGACGACAGCTGAAGCGACCTTGCCGTATCGTGTATGTGCGCATCGTACATTGCGCCGCAATCTGCGCCTAAGGAGCTGCTTTTCAAGCAAGGCATCTTCGGCAATATCATATTCCATATTGCCAATATGGCAGCAGCGGTCGTACATTTTTGAATTTAGATAGCTTTGATACCTTTTGAATACTAGTTATCATTTTTGCGCGTGTTCCTGCTGTCCTAATAATTGATATCATGCACGTGAAAAGTGGTGCTTGGCCATCCGTTGGAGTTGACGTGAAGTAGGTTGAAGCCTTGATAATCAAACTCATGTTAGACTCTGAGTGACTCGAGTGAGTCAGGCAATACAGTAGCATGTGAGATCCAGGGCGTGGCGTCAGGCCATCAGTGCCGTCTTCGAGCTTTGCAACGGTACTGGTACATGTGCCGCTTTCGTCGAGGTCATACTGCCAGTGCATCGATTTGTCTGCTTTAACGGACAGAGTCCTTTGTGTTCTCCGCCTGCGATCCGGTGACTGCTCAAGTTTCAGCGCCGAGATAATTGCAGAACGGACGCCTTTATTCAGTGGACGTGGCGCTTCATCATGAACCATGAACCTTCATGGTCTTAGGATAGTGAACCGTGGCTTCGGCACCGCGACAACCGGGAAGACCTACGTCACATCGCCAATGCAGTCATTTAGATTAATACAGTAATACCGGCTCATTACAGTTTTGACAGCCACGACCCCATCATCTGGGCATCCGACAACTGGCGCTTGCGAACACTGCCCTTCTGCCAACGGAGACCTTGCTCATGGAAGGTCTCACTACGTTGAAAGCTACGTAGTACGTAGCCCTCTCACTTCCAGTGGACGTGCGAGGGACCGCAGCCTCCTTATTGATCTCCCTCCACCACTCACCCAAGTGGCTTCACATTTCATTCCACCGGCACGCGACGGACCTCATACAGTAAGAAGCCGCAGTCTAAATGAAGTTCCCTTTACCTGCCAACACGTTTCCGTCTCTATCGCTGCCACTGGATGACCAAGACGCGTTGAAAAACCTGGCGCGCGCCTTCGTGGATGACGCAATGGTAGAGTATCAAACGTTCCGAAGCCCTCCTCTCAACGGCGTTATCGACGACGCACGTTGGAAGCTCATCAAGAAGCGGGATGGCCTCATCTCCTACCTAGACCGAGAGCTTGGGGACTCTGCGGCGACGAGGAATTCCGTACGAGAGAGTGTAGGCTCCATGACTTTCTCGCGAAAGCTACACGGCGTATTTACCGTCGGAACGATCAACGGATCCCTTCACGACCAAATGTATGGCATGCATCACTGCAGTATGGAACTCATGCGGATCAAGTCAGCGTACATGGCCGACAAGATCGCGGACGGGAAAATTATCTGTGAAATCAGCGCCGCAACACCCGAACATCCCGTGGATGGTCTCTACGTTAAGTGGAGCGTATCAGACTTCGCACCCACTTTACTACGTCGAGTAATTCGACCACGAGACTTTGTCTTCTTGCATGGCACCGGCATCATCGAGGATGAAACGACAGGCGAGCAGATGGGCTACAGCGTCATGCACTCGCTACAAATTCCAGATATCCGAGAATTGAAGGACTACCAGATCGTGCGAGCCACCTTATCTATCTGTGCGTTATTCCGCCAGAAATCTCCAGGAGTTGTCGAAGTTTACATGAAAGGCTTTGTAGATTCTATGGGGGATATTCATACGAGTGTAGCCATTCCCGCGACGGCAGAGGCGTTGATGTCGTACCGAAAAGGCGTGTACTGCGGCCAGATGAAGAAGCTCAACTGGCTGCTTAAGACTAAGAAGACGGTGATGCTTGATCGACCCAACGGCATTTGCCCCGTCTGCCAAAAAACGGTGAAAAAGTCGCTATCATCGGAAAATCTGTGTCAGGTTTGTATGAATCAGGTGTGCTCCTCTTGTAGTGTGGTCCAAAAACTGGCGTTCTTGTCCACGTCTCGACGGATCGTTCGACGCAATGTGTCATTCTGTACTCGTTGTATGCGTGTGGCTGTGATGGCCGACGGACTGGAAGTCGCGTCGGAAGAGCTTCGTCGGCTGAATCCACTCGAGTACTTTGAAATCTCATCCAACGATAGCGGCACACCTGCTTCGCCATCAAACTCGACTTTGCCTGACATTCAACAGGAATTTTTCGGCTAAAGCGAGTAGCTGAAAAGATTGGGCCACGTATTACGAGTATAAACAGTAAAATTAAAATATTACGGAGTATAAACTTACTGCTAATTTAGGGAGTACCCTGTGACGGGGAGAGAGAGAGAGAGAGAGAGAGAAAGAGAGAGAGAGAGAGAGAGAGAGAGAGAGAGAGAGAGAGAGAGAGAGAGAGAGAGAGAGAGAGAGAGAAAGGGGTTAAACTTCGTGGTAGTATTTCACCTAAGGGGGTCCTTGCTCGCGTCTTCAAATTGAGCTTGTTGATTGGCTACTCCAAGTAATCCTGGGTTCCTGAATTCAGGGATGTTTGTTTTGCGCTCACTTTTTTGTGAAGATCTTCTAGCACTTTTCTCCGCAGGCAAAAGCCTACAGCAACACCAGTGAGCTCTTCGAAGTAAGTACATTGCTTAGAATCGTGCCAAATACAGGATGTGGCTCATATCTTTTTTCATTCAAGTCAAAAATCGGATACCTTTTTTCATATTACCAGTATGAAGTACGAGATCTTAAATACGGCACTGTAGGTTGAACTCCCAAATCTGATAATTACATCATTTGAAATGGCGTACATGTAATAGATTATCGATCTCCGTTTTGGCTGTTTGGGATTCAAAATGTGTGCTGGCAGTGGGAATAAATATTTTTTTTATATTAAAAACGTGTATTTACGCCAGCTTAGACGTCTTTCATTTTCGAACGTCTTTAGTGTCTCTGTCGATGTTCGTTCAAGGGTACAGTGTACCTAATTTGCGGCTGGTGTCAAAACTAAAGCGTACCTCAGCATCCCTAGTAGTGGCCCCTATAATCATGACCAGGATTATTAATACCTTAAATCGAGGTCCGTAGAAGTGCCAAATCAAAAAATGTGCTCCATATTGAATTTCTTGTTGAGTCTAAATCCTTAAATGGCCTAGCAACTTGTCGTCTTTGACCGTTCTAGCCACACTTTCATTTCATTCTTACGCAAGACGACGCAGCAAATAGTACAATGTAGACTGCGCCATAGGCACGAGCTAAATGACATATTGCTCTGGTTGACAGTCTAATGCGATCAGTGCGATCCGGTCAAAGAGGTGGTGCCAATCGTGGTCGTTGATTCACCAGATCCATTCGTCACTGTCGTCGTCGTAGCTCCAGATCCAGTGGTGGTCGTCTCAATGGTACTGCCCGATTCAGTCGTGGGAATCGTATAGCAGTTCGAGCTGGTCCCCATCACCATGGATCCACCTTTCAAAGTGTTTCCGATCTCCAACGTTTTGGAACCCGTTTCAGTCGAGCTCGATCAAAGATCCATCAAGTCATACGAAACCTCCAACAGAGTGTCTGACACGTTGGGCGTCGTCGTCGTGGTGGTGGTCGTGCTGCTCGTGGTCGTGACAGCAGACGAGGTCCATTACGGGTAGCCACACGCTTGTACAACGTGCGGATGACACGGAAGAGCGTCGAGCTGGCAAACTTCGAGCTCGAAGCCGAGTAGAGTGTGGAGCGCACAGCTATCTACAGCAGGCCCGAACGCACGAGATTCAGAAGCTGAGCACTCGACATGGCTCATGATGAGGATCTTGTCCGTTACGAACACGGACATGAAACTGGTGAGCCCGTAGACGCTGTCGAACGTGTAGTACTTCCGCAGCTTCTTGTGAGCCGCCTCCAGATCCACGTTGTCTTCAAAACGGACGTTTGTACCGTTGTACCCTGTAGATGCCAGACGTGGTCACGGGCGCCGTGACGGTGCGACTACGCAATTGTTATGTTTCGTGTAGCTAGCCACTGTTTCATGGCAGTCCTGGACGGCAACATCTGCCTTCTTAGGCAACAGCGAGCTAGTCGCACAGATAGGTCCCTCGTCGTATTGCCTTCCAGACACGACTCCAACTGTTTCTGTAGTCGGGGCACTGAGCGCCGTGGCCACCGGGGTAGTGATGAAGAAGGGTGGCGCTGGGCGTCGTATATGCCGGAATGACACCGAGCGTGGCGCTAGGCGTGGATGCAGCGACAGCGCCAGGCGTATCTGCAGCGGGGATTGCTTCAGGAGCCTTGGCATCAGTAGTGATTGATGTCGTATTATGGCGCTGAGCAGTAAGACTACAGCTCTGTCCCTATAAGTAGACCCAGACCAAGTTTCCCAGCTCATTGAAATCAAGTCATTATTTCTGAAAGTAATTGCGTCCCGGTGTCTGTAAAAAAGGTTTAGACGCTCGTTGAAAAGCGTAAAAAACACACGGACGTTTAAAACGTCTCTGAATAGACATCACTACCAGCACTGGTAGCACAGATCCTTACACAGAGGAAGTGCTTAAGGGTATTAACTACCCGAGTGAACGTTAGTCAACGTGTTCCCGGTCTCAACGGGAACGGTTTGCTACTTAGAGGAGTAGATGTATTGTGCTTTGCAGATGGAATGTCCATCCGTGTTATAGCCTAGATCAAACATGGTCAGAGCATAAAACTCCGCGTAAAAATGAGATGGGAAGAGGCAAGCATCGAATTGTTTTATCTGTGATCGAATTACCATTTTAAAACGGCAAAAAGGATCCATTTTGTTTCCAGCATATTGATGTGGATTTGGTGGTTGATCTATCCCGAGCGGTCGATTTGACTATCGTAGCTCGCTTTATCAGCCAGTCTAGCTAGATCGATTTGAACTTCTTATAGACCTCGATTTAGTAAAACGACCTCTATTTATTATAAATCGAGCATCAGGCTAAGTGAAAAGAGCGAAAGCATTGAAGCGCACGATAATACTGAAGTATTTATAAATAAGCTTAGCTTGGGCTCCATGCAAACTAGATGCTACCTATAGTGGAGCTAAGTCATGCCCTGACAGGCTACCTTGTACCGTGTAACAGGTATCCACAAGAGTGACGGGTCGCTATTTATGTAATCTGGGGTACACTGGATTGTACCCCGTTACATCCCCCCCCCACTTAACTGAGAATCACATGATTCTCCAATCAGAAGTGAGAGAATTTAAAAAGTCAAGGTGAATTCTCACACTGAGCAGCCACGAGACCGTCGCGGCTCTCAGTCACACCCACAATGACTTGTGCTCCTAGAGATCATTCCCTATGCTCACAACTGTGTTGGTCGCAAAGCCTACACTCAGAGCTTCCTAGCGTAAGTTCGTGGAGCCTCCTATCCTTGTGCTAGCGCTCGTACAGTGCTTTGGTATAGGATGCAATATCATCCGAACGTGTGGCATTCGCCCACAGCTCGCACCAGAGGACATGACAGTCCTCGCGAACGCGTCCGGAGCATGGCGTCTCCCGCGAGGGACGACACCGAGAAGGGCAACACCTTCCCCAGCACCGGAGGGAGTTCTCAGCTCACCTTGAACCATGCCTTTGGCTCCAGCGAGGATCAATCCCTGCGGGCGGAGCTGCCACGCTCTCTTCGCGCCGTGGCCTTCATGCCAACGGCGCGTAGGTGTCATTCACCGTCACCGTGTACCGTGACAGTACTCAGTCGGGGTGCTGGTGTCTCCCATCGACACCGTGTATCGTCCGGTACTAACCTTTGGTGCGGTACGCCCACCATAAGATTGCCATGTTCGGTGGCAACAGCTTCCGCTGTGCTGTCGCCTGAACCGATCCATGGCCAGTGCTCACATCATGCACGACGCATGTGCAAGCACAGTGTACAGGTCCATGGGTCCGTACACCAGATACGCTGTGTACGACACGTACCACTGCTACCTTAAGTGCTCGGTAGACTTCATGTGTACGAGTTCATTACGCGGAACTCCCGGCAGGCTGCTCAACAGCAGCCGATCACGATACGTGCGTTGACTCACAGCGTATACGCTTAGAGCGCATCGGGTCGTGATATGGCGCATATCCTTTGCACCCATACCAGCGTCTGCCATAGACACCATGTACCTTGATGGTACTCGACCGTGGTGGGGCATATCTCACCATCATGCCACTGCGGCGTTGGTGTCTGGCACTAACACCAAGTACCCATTCGGTACCGAACCGTGGTGAGGCAAGTAGTTATATCCCCGATGTCATGCTCGGCGCGGCACCAGTAACGACTGCGTGCGTTGCCTCGACCACCATCTGGTCAATTGTGTGTGCCCACACTTGGGTTATGGCTCCACGGCCGATTATACTCGGCGCGTTGTGTAAATCACGTACCGCAACCGCTTTGTCGGCGGGTGAAACGTTTCGTTCACCCTACTCGACAGGTTGTTCATGGCTAAGGGACCGGTGCGGTGATTGCACCAGGCCCGCGCTTCGCCTAGTGTGTTGTTGCATGCAACCACAACCCTGCTGATGTGCTCAGCGATTCCGAGGCACCTAGCGTCCGTGGCTTCCGTCGCCACTCTGTCTTGTTTGTCTCTGCCGGAGCTCTAGCCCGGCTGCTCGCCTCCATCCCGTGGTCGATGTATGTCGACACCTGGTTCCGTAATGAACTTGGTCTTTCCTCAAGACCAGGGAGGAAAAGTATTTCCGAGCCTCTCCCCCACTTTACCATGAGACTAGGAGTCTCTCGTGGCTTGTGATAGCCACTAGCAGGCACGATGGCTCTCCACCTCGTGCACTGCGCCGGTATGGACGACCGCGTCGACCATGCCGACCGAGGGGATCCATCTATCGCGTCAGCAGTTTGAGTCTGCGCGACTTGACGTCGAGCGAGTTGCTCACGTCTGAGGAAGCCAAGACGGCCTCGCGCCTTGAGCCAATGATTATGTGTGCGAAACTCTGTTACCCTGGAACTCTGTCACCCGCCTTGATGTGTGGAGCTATGTTATCCACACCGGAAGCGCATACAGCGACTTCCTCATCAGTTATGGTCTGAGTGATCTTGCGTGGCGCTCTGTTACCCACGCTCGGAGCACCAATCGTCGCTCTCCTTAAGCAGCGAAGCTGCTTAAGGAGCTTGTTATCCGCCATGTGGACCTATGTTACCCCCCCCCCCCGGTGAATGCCATTCGGCATAACGATTGTCGAAGCCCATACGGCGCGACGAATTTCGGTGTTGGGATCGGA